CGGTACATCCCTACAACACCCAGAGAGCAAAAAGCTTGATCATTTCTACATCACTCCGTGACAACGCAATGTAGAATTCCCGAATTAATTGCACAGATAATTTCAAACGAGAGCACAAGATGCGCTGTGGTCTCGTCAACAAAACAGGTCTCAGAGACGTCATCCTTCCTCGCTATGGTGCAACGCTTTTTCTTTTCAAACTCACTCTTCCGGCGCACGGTAAGTTTAGCGCAATCGCTGCACCAAAGGGTAAGTCCTGGGAGATTGGATCTCTACAAGGGAGCCAGCGTTTCTAGGGCAGGTCTGTGGGACGGGCTCCGACGTAATCGGCGGTTGCGTTCCAGGTCTGAGGAAAGACTCAAATGCTGGCCGGAGCCGTGTCTTTCAGCTTATCTCTTCCGGCGCAGAACGGGAGTTTAGTGGCAAAGTGCAGGGGCGACGTTACGCTGAGGTACCCTGATAAGACCCAGGGCTGCGTGGGGTAGCAGATTTTTGATCGGCTGAGCTTCGAGCGGCAAATCCTGCAACACAAGAGAGCAATTGTGCAGTCGTTTCTACTTTACGCTGTAACAGCAGAGTAGAAGGCACCTCGTTTGTTAATGCACATAAACTTTCAAACGCAGAAGTATTGCGCTTGTGTGGCGCTCGTCAATAAAAAGACTCTCAACAAGATGCCGCACTCTTTCATCGCCTATGGCGCGGCCCTAGTCCTTTTCCAACTCACCTCATTCTCTGCAGAGAAGTTTAACGCCATCAACTGGCGCCCAAGGGCCGTCCTTGTGAGCCGCGGATCCTCTACAATGGGAGCCAGCGTTTCTAGGGAGGCTGTGGGACGGCTCTCGACGTTATCGTTTCGGCCAGCGGTCCAGGTCTTGAGGAAGAGAGCAAATCCTTGTCATACTCTACAGGTTATGCAAGTAACGGAATGTTTCTATTAATTGACTCGCCTTATTGCGAAGATTGGACAGTACTGTCATTCATTTGCCCATGATTGTTTTTTTTTGACATCTCATTGAAAACTGCCGCGCGCCACAGATTGAAAAAGAGAAAATTTATGTGTTCGATAATTTTGAGAAGTAATGAATTTGTGATACATGTGTATAGACCGCTATCTATGTTCTTGTTCCTTAATCTATGAACGCATGTTTTAAACAAGATTATTCTGACTGTTTGTTTGTTTGTTTCCTGATCGTCCTGTGGTCAAACTGTGGGTGATTTTCCTAAAATTGACATTGCCTCCGATCCTAAATATTCGTCAAATAATCGAGGGCCATTGCACATTTCAGAAAATATTATCTTAATTTAGGCTATTTTATGCAAAAAAATTTCAAAGAATTTAATGTTAAAATCGCCACATTCAGTGCAACTGATAAGTATTCACGAACAGTAGAATCGAACCGCGGAGGAATGCCATTACCTCTGCTCTTCCCATGGTGGGACTGGCACAGGTGGACTACCTGGCTTCTGGGTCACTGCGAAATGCTCCTGCGCCTTCAGCTGATAGGGTATATTGCAGATACATGCCGAGCTGAGTTCTCGCCACTGTCCCAGGGGCTATGGCTAAGCGCATGTAGGTCCTTGATAAGACCAGGCTGCGTTGGGTGGCAGCTTTGATCTGAGTCTGAGCGACAGAGCTCACTCTGCATACCCGATAGCGGGTTGACAGTTCTCTCTATCACCACCGGATAGTCAAAGGTCAATGGAACTCGTTACTTGAACGTCTGCAACATAAAAGTTTCAATGGACCGCGTTAATGTATCATGAAGACTATGATCGTTTCATCAGCTCGTCTATCGCAAGATCCCTTCCACCGCTCATGGCCGCATCTTCGTGGCCTATGTTCAAACTCACCTCTTCGCGCAGACGAAGTAGAAGCTTCATTCTCGCGGCGACGAAGGGCCGTCGACCTCTGGATAGTGGTATCCTCGGTCAAGGGAGGCAAGCGCGCGTAGCGGCAGGCTGTGGGACTGAGAAATGGTGGGAACGTGAGGTCATGGACTGAGGAAGGGCAAATGCTATACTCTAATTGTTTGATAGAAATTGTGAACAATGACGCTGCTGTTTTAATTGACTCGCTTTTCTTCTCGAGATAGAAAGTACTTGTAATCATGTGTTGCAAGGTATACGGCCTTTTTTGACAGAAAAAACGTTCAAAAATGCTCCGTCGCCACGTATTGAAATATAGAAAAATCTTGTTCTAATTTGTATTAAATTCTATTCGGAGAAATGTCAGTGAATACGGTTATTTACGTGTTTTTGGGCCTCCTTAATACCCGACATTCTTATGTTCTACAGCAGATCTTTTCGGTAACGTTTCGTCTTTGCTGAACTGACGTCTGTTGTTAATGCATCCGCGATAATTTGTTAAGAGGAATTTTTCATAAAATTTCATTTCCTTATTATTTCGCTGATCACGAGCCAAGCAAAAATTTCGAAAAAGTATTTTTCTCATTTCTGACTATTCATTCAACACTTCAAAGCATTTATAATTTTATGTCCACACCCCATTTCACTGCTCGATCAGTCTTCACGGGCGCGTAAAAGTAAATGATTCCGATCGGTCACTCCCAAACGTTTTGAGTAGAATGCAGATACACATCGCAGTTACTCGTGCAAAATGAAAGCTATTTCCATTGTTAGGTGCGAACTTTTGAGTATAAATCACGTCGCGCAAGTTTGAACATGCTGGGATAATGTATTAACACAGGAAGGGCTATTGTGTTTCTATAGTTGTTGTTCCTCTGTCCAGTAAGATGAACCTATCAAGAGTAGAGCATTCAGAGCTTATGATTTTTTGTATGACTTTAATGTTGGCTTAGACAAGAAATCATGCTCGAGAGAATTAATCGCGTGCGTTTCGGCATGGTTGCCCTTCACAAGCCATGGTTTTGACGAATTCAAGAGGAGGAAAGGGATCCTGGAAAAATGAAGACCCGTTCTTGGAGGGCGACGAGCAACAACGGGATTAAAATGTGCTGAAAGTGGAACATTTGCTATGGAAGACCTCGTTGTACATATGCTCATAATTCAGGAAAATTTAAATTGCATCAGCAGCAGTGAGACATATCCTGAAAGAAACGCTTCACGTTAGGAAGCTGTGCTGTCGCTGGATCCTTCAAATCCTGTCCATGAACAACAAAGGGCGGAGTGGATTGGTGGTCGTGACCCTGGGATAAGTTAATGGAGGAAGATTCAAAAATAACATTTTTAACACTCGTGACGTGTGATGAAAGCTGATTCCGACGCTCAGCCAGATCCAAAACCCACCTCCCCACGCAGCCCTGGGTCTTATCAGGGTACCTCAGCGAAAACCTGGCCGTTGGATTTTGGCGAATCCTCAGTCGCAGCCTCAGACGTCAGTTCATATGTGGCGTCAGACCCGGGCGCACGTGTGTCGCCGACGCCGGACGAAGGTAAGACCCTGCCAGGACTCTGCCGTGAGCGTGCAATGCGAGTCTTCTTGCGACCTCCTAAATGCTTGGAATGTTTGGATGAAATATACCTAAAAATGAAAATACTTTTTTTCTAGTTGTCAGGGCCTCGAACTCAACGAAATTGACAGGAATATGACTAGGAAATTTTAGGAAGTTTCAAATCAACAATTTACGCGCTGCGATTGACCTTAGACGGTCAGGCAGAAAAAACAAACTAATAGGGAAAAATATATTCTGTGAAAAAGGGTTTGGGTATCACGAACAATGGGAACGTAGCTAGCGTATATAAGACATATTTCAGGAAAAAATACTACAAATAGGAACAAAATTTATCCACTTTTTCAATCTGTGTGGGCGACAGTTTTCAAGTGTTTATGTCAAATAAACCGCCGATACTTGGCCCATTATTACAATACTTTCTCATCTTGCGCAGTGAGGTGAGAAATTAAAAGGACCCTTCCTTTTACTTTCATCAACAATAGAGTACAAATGCCTTTCCTCAGACATAGACCGCTGGCTGGAGATGACGTCGGAGCCTGTCCCACAGCCTGCCCTTGCAACGCTGGCTCCCTTGGCAGAGATCGGATCTCCCGGAGTCGGCCCTTTGGGTGCCACTGATGGCGCTGTACTTTCGTCTGCACCGGAAGAGGTAAATTAAGAGCCATTGAAACGGGTGACATTCTACTCTGCTGTTCTACGGGGGTGAAGTAGAAACGTCAGCCCATTTCCCTTCTGGTGTGTGTGCAGGGTGTTTCCCTCGTCGCTCAGCCAGATCAAAAACCCGCCACGCCACGCAGCCCTGGGTCTTATGAGGGCACCTCAGCGGTAGCCTCGCCCCTGCAGCGCTGCGAGTCCTCAGCCTCAGACGTCGCTTCATGTATCACATTTGCCGAAGGCGCTCCTTCGTCGCAGACGCTGGGAACAGGTAAGACCCTGCCAGGACCCACCCGAGAGCGAAGAATAAATGTCCTCCAGCTCCGTGATGATCATATCATGGAATGTAATTGGGGTTATTAAAATGAAATTATGGGTAAAATAGACCGAAAAATGAAAATTATATTTTTGGAATTAAGGGGGCCATGAGATCTGCAAAATAGATAAGGAAATGTCAATTTTAGGAAAAATCGCTTTAAAATTTTTGCGCTGCGCTTGACCGCAGACGGTCACGTCGACAAAGAAACTAGCAGACTTCTGCTCTCAAACATGGTTTCCGTGTCAAATAGCAAGAAATCATTGGATACCGTATTAACAACGTACTTCAAAAAGTAATATACTACAACTAGGGACAATATTTATTCACTTTTTCAGTACGCGGTTTTAAAGTTTTTTGGTCAATAAACCATTCGATCCTTGGGACATGTTTTCAATACTTTCCCCTTTTCCGCAGTAAGGCGAGTACTTAATAGAAACATTCTCGTTTACTTGCATCAACTGTAGAGTATAACGATTTGCCTCTTTCCTCAGACCTGGACCGCTGGCCGACGATAACGTCGGAGCCCGTCCCACAGCCTACCCTTGGGCCTCTGGCTCCCTTGGAAGAGACCCGCGCTCCGAGGGACGACCCTTTGGGCGCCAATGATGGCGCTGAACTCCCGTCTGCGCCGGAAGAGGTGAGTTTGGGAAAGGACACGGGCGCGCCATAGGGGAGTGAGAATGATGCGGCTCTCGTTGAGAGCTTTTTTTTGACGAGCACCACTCAGCGCTTTCTTCTTTGTATGTAATTTTATGTGCAATGAAAACGGGCCCCATTCTACTCATCTGTTCCACGGTGGTGAGGTGGAAACGTTAGCACATTATTCTCTGGTGTATGTGCAGGGTGTACCGCCCGACGCTCAGTCAGAGCTAAAACCTGCCACCCCACGCAGCCCTTGGTCTTATGAGGGCACCTCTGCGATAACCTGTCGCCTGGACCGTGGCGAGGCCTCAACCTCAGTCGTCGCTGCATGTCTGGCCTTAGCCGAAGGCGCACCTGCGTCGCTGATACCAGAAGGTAAGACCCTGCCAAGCCCCACCCGATATCGTGGAATGGGAACCTTCCTGTGATCTACTGCTTCGTGACGATGTTATCATGCACTGTAATTGGGCGTATTAAAAACTGAAATGCTTTGAAGTTTTTGGAGGAAACAGCCCTAAAAATTAAATATTATTTTTGAAATTTGCAGGGCCTAGAGATCAGTGAAATTGATAGAGAACGTTTAGGAAAAATGTCCCAACAATTTTTAGTGTCGCAGACTTTCTTGCAGTCAAACGTACGGAGAAAAAGATCTCCTGCTGTAAAACATGGCTTTGGTATTAAAGTACAAGAAATCGCAATGCCGTAAACACGATATATTTCGAATACAAATTGCTAGGAACAAGTTATTTCCAATTTTTTCAATACCTGAGCGCGCAGTTTATTTTTATATTAAAAAAACGCATTTTGGCCTCACACGATTAAAATAGTTATCATGTTCCACAGTACGGCGAGAAAGTAAATGGAACGTTGGCTTTCACTCCAATCAACACAAGAGATTAAGGCATACACTTCTTCTTTCAGACCTCTACTGCTGGGCGGAGATGACGTCGGAGCCCGTCGCACGGCCCGCCCTTCCGCCGGTGGTTCCCTTACCAGAGACCTGTTCTCCAACGGACGGTCCTGTGGGCGCCAATGGCGGCGTGAAGCTCCCGCCTGCGCCGGTGAGAGCACCATATAGCGCATGTTTTTGCGTTTGCAATATTCTGTGCCATTAAAATGGGTTCTGTTCTACTCTGAACGTTCTGCTGTGGTGAGGTAGAAATGCCAATCAATTGGTTTGTACCGGTGTGTAGGTTATACCGCACGACGCTCAACCACATCCAATACGCGCCACTCCACGCAGCCCTGGGTCTTATCAGGGTTTCTCAGCGGTAGCGTCTTTCCTGGACTTCGGCGTTCTCTCAGCCGGAGCCTCAGACTTCCCAACATGTATGGCCTTCGCCGCGGGCGCCTGTGCGTCGCCGACGCCGGACGCAGGTGAGGCCCTGCCAGGACCCACCCGAGAGCGCGCAGTTTAAACATTCCTGCGATCTACTGCTCCCTGACGATTTTTTCAAACACAGTAATTGGACGAATTAATTCTTTAAGAAATGTTTTCAATGTTTTGGATGAAATTCCTTTAAGACTTTTGATGATATAGACCTAAGAATTAAAATATACTTTTTTAAATTGAGTGCTTTGTAATCAGCTATATTGATAGGATATGGTCAATTTTTGAAAAAATCATTTTTACAATTTACGTTTTGCCTTTGAAGACAAACGGCCCGGAAGACAAACTAATAGAGAAAAAATCTTGTAAAAATATCTTCTTGTTCTGATTTCGGTATAAACGAGCAAAAAAACGTATTATTGTATATACGACACATTTTAGGAAGTAAACTATATCAAACATGAACAAGATTTATACTTTTTCAATACGTGGGCGCGGCAATTAAATAGTTTTTTTAATCGAAAAAACGCCTTTTCTCAGCACACGATTACAATACTTTCTCCTCTTCGCGATCAAATATTGGTATTTACTTGCACCTAGACTAGAGAATCAGTATACGCCTCTTTCTTCAGACCTGGACCGCTGGCCGGCGATGCCGTCGGAGCCCGTCCCACAGCCTGCCCTTGCGCCGCAGGCTCCCTTGGCGGAGATCCAATCTCCCAGGGATGGCCCTGTGGGCGCCAATGATGGCGCTAAACTCCCGTCTGCGCAGGAAGAGGTGAGTGTGGGAAGGGACATGGCTGAGTGGGAAGGTTATAGCTCTCGTTGAGAGCATGTTGGTTGACGAGCGCCACATCTGTCTGCGTTTTAAAGTTTATGTGAAATTAAAACGGGTGCCATTCTACTCTGCTGTTCCACGGAGGTGAGGTAGAAGCGTCAGGACAATGCTTTCTGGCCTGTTTGCAGGGTTTGCCGCTCGTCGCTCAGCGAGATCAAAAGCCGGCTACCCCACGCAGCCCTGGGTCTTATCAGGGTACCTCAGCGGTAACGTCGCCCCTGCACTTTGGCACTAAACTCCCGTCTGCGCCGGAAGAGGTAAAGGGCACGGGCTCCGGCCATAGGCGAGAGGCAAGGATGCGGCTCCCGTTCAGAGCCAGTTTGTTGACGCGCGCCACACATGTTTCTGTGTTCGCAATGTTCTGTGCAATTAATTCGGGGGACATTCTACATTGCGTTGTCGACGAAAATGATGTAAAAATGTCAGCTTTTTGCTCTCTGGGGTGTGTGCAGGGTGTACCACCCGACGCTCAGCCAGATCCAAAACCCACCTCCCCACGCAGCCTTGGGTCTTATCAGGGCACCTCAGCGGCAGCCTCGCCCCTGGAGTTTGTCGAGGCCTCAGTCGCAGCCTCTGACGTCACTGCATGTATCACCTTAGCCGAAGGCGCTCCTGCGTTGCTGACGTCGGAAGAAGGTAAAACCCTGCCAGGCCCCACCCGATATTGTGGAATGGGAACCTTCCTGTGATCTACTGCTCCGTGACGATCTTGTCACATACATTGGTTGGGCGTATTAAAAAATGAACTGCTTTTAATACTTTGGATTAAATAGACCTAAAATTGAAAATATTCTTTTTCAAATTTAGGGTCTTGAAGTCAGCCAAATTGATGGGGAAATGTTAAATTTGTGGAAAGTCGTCATAACGACTTGCGCGCTGCTAATGAATACAGACGGTCTGACAGACTAACAAGCAGAGAAACACTAAGATATTACGCTATGAAACAAGTTTTTTTGTATAAAGGACCAAGAAATGTATATTCTGTGAAACAACATATTTCACGAAGTAAATTACTTTTAATAAAAACAAGTTTTAACCACTTTTTGCATATTAGGAATTCGCACTACCAGTTTTTATGACAAACGTACCTTCTTTCCACTGTATCATTACAATTCCTTCTTATTGTTATAAATGTATGTAGTTGGTATGTTATATAAGTACGTACTTTATCGCATATTTTTAAATTTTGGAAGTTTAACGAGACAATAAATTTGCTTAATTATCAGGGACATATGACGCATCAGATAAATGCGTGGAACTCGATTACATGCAATATCTCACTATTTGTACAATTGAAAATATGAATCATTGTTAACCTTGCTACTTACCTTAAAGTTACTAACTTGTGTTTGAGTGTGTGCGTGAAATTTTGTCATCCTTTGGAACAAATATATAATGCGTGTGTTTTATGATATTTTAATTATTCAGAACGCCTTTTCAGCTGAATTGCAGTCGTCGTCCGCGCACGTCTGTGGTGGCTGCTGGCCCGGTAACACAAAACATTCTGCCCGACGAGTTGATTTCAGATGCGGCTGTCCGCCAGAGTGCACGCGCTCTTCGAGGAGAGGATTAATATTACTCTTCCATGTCTTCTGTGCAGACGAGCGCGTCCTGCTGGACATGGACGCGTTGTGGAAGCCGAAGGCGGAGCACGTGACGGAAGCCGACGCCAAAATTGAGGCCGAAATGGACTGGGAGCTGGAATTTGACTCCATCCGGAGTCAGGACACCAAAGCGCCATTGGTGAGCGTTGGTCTATATAAGAGATTCTCTTGCAGGGATTGACCAATCCGGAGACAAACAAGGTTTGGAGATGACTTTTTTCAGGCATCACATACAGGCCATGACGCCTGCCAATGAACCCCCCCTCTGTCAGTCCTGGAATTTGACGTTCGCATCCGTGCCTATAACAAGATGTTTTCTGGCTTTGCACAGGCAGATTCAATGGGTTCAGTTGACACTAAATATGGGGAAATAATTCGTATAGGTTGTGTTCAATCACCTGTTATAAAAGTAACTTCACTAATTGTGCACATCTTTCCAATTTCAGTGGGATATAGTTATTCAAATTATCGTTCTCCATGTTGTCACGGCAGGAAGCCGACTCCTTCACGAAGGACAAGATGAAGGATAAGAGCGCGAATCAATAGCTCATTTGCCCTTGCAAATAGTTATTATACAGGGATGAATATTTTCTTATAAATTCTAGCCCCAAAACGTTTCTTTTCTTCTTTATTGAGAATTCAACTTACATATGGCTTTGGGTATTGTTTCCACAATTAAGAAAATCTGCACAGAATTGACTTTTTCCCGTAGTACGTCATGCACTGTTTCCAACACCTTTGGATGTTTAAATAAATGAATGAATGAATGGATGGATGAATAAATGAATGGATGAATGAATGAATAATTAATTAATTAAAACCTGATATATCACATAGCACTGTATCTGTTGTAATGAATTGCCTGAATTCGAATACTCGGTGATCCGGATTGTTTACTATGATGGCTGCTCTGTTCTATTTTTGCTTTGGCTGCTTGCAATCACTTGGCAAGACCAATGCAGAACCACGCCACTTTTTGTATTGTATATGGATTTCGCAGCCGAACAATGAAGCATAATATTTATTATGCTACTAAGCAGTACTTAAACATCTACTTAAAATAATTGTACAGAATTAATGTTCTAACTATATAACTAACCTCTTATAGCTGTCATAATAATATAACATACAATATTGATAATATAAACAAACAATTTTAATGTAAAATATTCTAAGAAGTTACAATTTATTTACTTTTGAAATGTTTGACATTTTGAGGGAATGTTTCCAACATCGTTGCAAATAATTTGTTGCAATTTTGTATTGTTCTGTTCACAAATGGGAATTTATAATCATCTCTCCTCTGATTTCTTTGTCGAATTTTCGAACTTTGTCGAATTGTTGTTTCATGGGCTATATCGCCTTAGTTACGGTCTTTGAAACCGTTTTTTCCACATCCGAAGTGTGTTAGCTTCCATTGTCTTCGATAGTATACCTTTCCATTTTCTCAATGTCACTAATATTCGGACTTTCTCTGCCCCAGTTTCATTGGAGCCTTTCTTTGCCAGCGACGCGATCACTTCGTCGCACGCGAGTAAAGCAAGTTCCTCCGTCCAGGAGACGCTCTCAGCCGCCTCAAGGCGTTGCCACCCCTCCAGCATTTGGAGCTGGGCGCTACTTTCTTCCCTTCCGAGGCCGGCGCCACGACGGCCAGCACCTCGTCTGAGTTCTCGTCTTCTTCCATTTCGCCCGTTGGGAGTCCCCCGGAAGGTGCACTCTCGACCGAGGTCTTATGGCTTATGACTCAGAGAGCACTCTACAACACGTGTGGCACTAGAGTCGGGATGTGTATTGTAATGCACCTGGGAGTTACACTATCATAAAGGGGGGGGGTCACTTTCAGACAGCAGGGTGCACGCGCTGAATTTATTTAAAGGGCGCCAAGCGCATGCCTTACCTGCTACCCAGTCTCAGGGCTGAGCGGCCTGGGTCGAAGGATTGCATTTGGCTGGCCAATGCTGACGAGCGCCGAGTGGCTCGTCATGAGGGAGAGAGCTGACGGTGACGCAGGGGCCGAAGGGCTCGTGCGCGAAGGGGCAATGACGACGCTGGCAATCGCGCGGGGGACCTTCTGCCTCGCGGGGGGACTTCCTGCCATCACTGCTGTATTTAATCCATGCGCGTGGATGCTCGTGCGTAGGTCGGGTCCATCGCCGCCGCCGCCGCCGCGGACGCCGAGGGCGGTCAGAGGGACGCCCGGGCGACGCTGGGGCGCCGACGACCGGAGCAGTCGGGCACAGAATCAGGTGAGACGAGGGTTGCCAACTTCCCGGCTTGCACCGGACGTGTCTCTTTTTTTGTCGTTTAATTCACTATGGTAGGCGTTCTAGGCCATCTTTCTTTCAAAAGAGTCCGTCAGTTTCTCAAATCTCCCTGCATCTTCTGCGACACTACGTTTTTTCACAATAAATAAGTCTAAAATAACATAAAGAATTCTATTTTGGCTTCAATTCGATAGTAACTTAATTTTAATGTTGGCGTCTCTTTTTTGTTTGTACTCCACTTTTTCATTCATTCATTCATTCATTTCATTCATTTAGAAAAAAAGTTAGGAAAACATCAAAGATGTAATGTTTTATTATGCTGTTACCCAAGGTTTTGCTTATTATTGGAACTGGATTGTTACTATCTAAATGTTGAAAGTATGTCATTCTCACATTTATTTTTGAAATTTGTATGTATTTTGTCGTATTTAAAAAATATATATTTTAAATACTTAATAAAGTATATTTTACACATTCATTTTATAATTAAAAAATATGTGTGAATTCATAGAACAATTTTTGAATTTTGAAGTACTACATACGATTTGCATTCTGAGAAAAGTATCATTATTGTATTACAGGGGATGACTTAGTGCAAACAGAAACGATTCAATGTTACAAAATGAAATATTTTTCAATTTGCTATAATTATTAACACACATTTCGAAGAACTTGAAGATACACTTCATGTAAATGTATGTGGTTAGCGATTTGATGTACCTCACAGACTCTTGCACCTCAGAGCTGCTTTCGAGTTACTGATCAGACAGGGATGACTTAAACGTAGGAAGGAGGTAGAAGTTCGATGGAGAATGATTGGAGCTTCAGAAGGTAATTCAGTCTCTCAAATGAAATGTGTTCTGTGTGCTCTGTGACGTCTGTGATAGTTCTAGACGGAGATTTAAACACAAACACAGTACGTATAAAAATGTTTTATTATCTCCAACTCCGCATGCAACACCAATCAACTAATCCACGATTTCCCACAGGTTTTTGCTCCCACTCTCTGTCTGTCTGTCTCTCTCTCTCTTTCTCTTTCTCTCTCTCTCTCTCTCCCTCCCTCTCTCTCTCCCTCTTTCTCTCTCTCGTGACACCATCAACCACACCTGCTACCCACTTCACC